GCCCATGGGGTCACTCAGATTTGGGGAGGTGGCACAGTCCCTGAGCCCATGGGGTCACTTGCAGTGGCTGTGTCACGACAGCTCTGCCTTCAGGGGTTCCTTGTCTCCCGTGCTGCTGCAGCAGCTGATGAGTCATGTCAAAGCCAATTAATTTTTAAGTGCTCACTTCACTTCAGCCTCAGCACTGAGGGAGCAGGAACCCGCCTGGTTTGGGAGGTTTGTCCCCAGCTGAGGCTCTGCCTGTTGAAATCCCGAGTTAAAGACCCTTTATTCTCACTTGTACTGCTGAATTCTGGATGTCAGACTGTAACATTTTTCTTTCTTTCTCTTGGACAGATCTACCTGAACAATGCCTTTGCCCTGGACTCGGCCTGGGTCCAGCCTGAGGAGTCCAGGCTGTTCCAGGGGGCTGAGAAGCCTCTGCTGCTGAGCAGCCAAGTAGCCATGGCTGTAGCCAGGCCAGCTGCTGCCTCCAGGCCACTGCCCACGCTCGTCCTGGCCCCTCAGCTGATCCCAGGTCAGGAAATAAGTACATCAATAATGAAGTCTTTAACTTGCCTGTTTCTTGATGGTTTCCCCTTAATGCATCCCCCAGAGAGGCAAAGCTGCTCTCTAAAGCAAAGGTTTGTTTCCACTCTGCTGCAAATCTCTCGTTTGGGCAGAGCCTTGATGGCCAAGTGCAGCTCAGCCTGTGCATGGCTGTGAGAGGAGGAAAGGCTGTGTGTGATCACAGCAGATTGTGCCAGGCTGTGCTGTAGCTGCTTGGTGACCTCTGCAAGGAAGGCACCAACCACTCCCCACCTCCCGAGTCTGTTTTTCAAACAAGAAATCGCTGACAGCCTAAAGGAGCCCGTGATTCCATGGCACAGCCCCTGCAGGGCTCTGCTGGCTGCTCGTTTTCAGGGTTTGGTGGGGTCTGTGCAGACAGGCAGCAGCAGAGAGGAGCAGTGGATCCATCATCCCATTAAGGCTCAGTCATTTGTGGAATAAATTCCATTAATGTGCATAACTGAACAGAAGAACTACAAGTTATAAATATAAATATAACTATAAACTGTATAAATATTCTGTGGTGCTTCAGGTAACTGAGATTTATACCTGGAAAAGAACGTTTACCCTTGGACAAGAGCAGGCCACACATTCCAGTAGGGCTGAACCTCTGTTTTGTCACTGCAGGAGCAAATTAAAGTAGCAGCTCTGTACAGAAGGTTGAGGAGAAAAGCACCACTGATGTTTCAGCCCCTAAATACACTCCTAAAGTGGGAATTAGAATTACTGCCTGCTGTTCCTGCCTTGCTCAGAGCAGAGGTGCTGTCCCTGGGGTGGAGAGCAGAGCCCCCCTTTCCGTGGGCTGTCCCCAGCAGCAGTTTGTGTTTCAGAGGTTTTTATTATTTTCTATTGTGCAGCTCCCAGGACTTTGTGTTTGCCACCAGTGCTGGGTTCAGAGTGTGCAGGAGGAGATCCTCGCTCCTGGGCTCGTTTGCCAGCCTGATTAATGAGCAGGGAATGCCCTGGCACACGTTGGCCCCTTCAGGCTGGGTCTGTATTTTGTTTTTTTAGCAAAGCTGTGGCTCAGCCATCCTCTCCTCCTGCCAGCACTGCCCAGGGCTCAGCTGGAGGAGCCACTGCTGTGAGGAAACCTGGTATTCATTCATTTCTGTTTATTAGAGGATTTATTGGTGTTTATTACACATAAAAGCACTGCCTGGGGAATCACAGGATGGGTTTGCTGCCGAGGGAGGGGTCTGGGCAGGGGAGCCCCAGCCCCTCCTGTTGCTGCACGTTTAAAAGACTTCAAGATTTTCAAATATTTCAGTATTTTAAACGTGCACAAGTGTTATTTTATCACATGAAAAGTGGCAGATAGATGACAAGAGTGTTCCTGGGAGCAGGGCCAGGCAGAACAGGGGCACTGCCAGCCTGGTGCCACCTCTGTGGGCTGCAGGGAGCCCCGGCAGGGGAAGGGTTTCCTCCCCTGGACAGGGCAGGTGCCCGTGGCTGTTTGTCCCTGCAGCAGGTTCAGTGCTGGCTGCCAGCTGAGCTCCCCGGGGTGGGAGAAGTGAGGGAGGA